AATTATGTAACTTAACACTAAAATCATGCTATGCCATCGGCCCAGAAAATTCCTTTGTGCTATCCCCACCCCCATCCTATATATCCTCTCACTACTCTGGCCCTCTGCATCTGTAATCTGTCATTCTGGTTTTGACTTTTAGATTATTTCATTTCATTGGAATCACACAACAGATAATAGAAAAGATAATTACATTAAGGGGGCTGGCTTGTTGTAATCAGTGGGCAGGTCATGGCAAGCGGCAGGTCATAGCAACTTGTGGTTCTAGGAAGTTCATCCCACCTGGAGCAGGATACCCCAGTGGGAATGGCAACAGGTAGGCTCCTGGAAAGGAGGACTGATAAGCTGGATAGATGGGCTTCAACGAGTGACCATAACTTAAATATGTGGACTATATGCTGAGTTCGGAAATTGAAGGAGAAATACAGTCTCGTAGTCTCCTCAAAAGGAGCCCTGGTGGTGTATTGGTTAGACCCTATGGATTACGGTCAATGATTCAAACCCACCAACTCTTCCAGGGGAAAAAAGACCTGGAGATTTAAAGCCAGGAAACACTATGATATTTCTCTCCTCTGCCCTGCAGGGTTGCTTGGCATCTAGATGTCCTCTATGGCTACAATAGCAGCCGAGTCTGTTAGACCTCATATACTAATCTAAAGCTAGGTTGTAATTCGAACTCTTAGAAGCCAGGCATTGTTAGGTCCTTTTGCTTGCTAATGTTCTCCATCTCTGAAAATACCCAGTGCCCCCTTCCAATCCCAGAGATAAACAGGGTCAATAGTTCCAGTAAAAAGTCTTGAGGCTGAATGTAAGATGTTCAGTGGACCAGCATTCTCCAAGGTTTCAGACCAACCTATCATCTCCCACTTTCCTTTATGGTTTTAGCCAGGCAAGATCAACCTGCACATTCACGTCTTTTCAGCTTGCTGTATTGTCATTCATCACAGGGTAGGACTGACCCTGGCTCTATGTTCCACACAGGTTACCTTTAGATCAGATTTACCTTGATGACCTGATGCCTTGTCGTCTTTGGCAAAATCCAGTTAGTCCCTGGAATAAAAATTAGGGTTCTCCATCACACTAATTAGGATGTCTTCTGTCGTCCTAAAAGTCCAGCCATTTATAAAGTGGCAAATTGGGAGAATCTAAAAGTGTGAGGCTTTTGTGTGTTTAGTTTTAATAACCAACAAACAGCAGTTTGGGAGGGCAGAGTAGAATAGAGGAGTGTGTCCTGAATCTTCAATGAACTATCTGGTTGCTCTCAGCTGACAAGGATAAATGTAGAATTATTAATTACTTTTATTAATGCCTTGGGTGAAGACATAGTGATCAAGCTGCAGATGACAGAAAGCTAGAAGGATAGCAATTTCGGTGATGGCTGCCTTAGGAGCCAAGATGATTTCAAGACAGAATTTAGTGGCAAACCATCCAATACGTGCCTGGAAGAATGATCTTCATAAGCACAACTTGAGAATCATATCACTCCTCCACTCAGAGACCTGCCTAATTCCATTTGCTGTTTAAAGTAAATCCCCGATCCTTCGCCTGGTATTCAAGCCTCTACCACTACAAACTTTCCTACAATATCTTCTGAAGTTCTTTCCTTAATACTTTGTACTTGCATCAAATTGAATTATTTATAGACTATTTCCTATGGATGTGCCCTACCTTCCCTTCCTTTGAGCAGTGTTCTCCTCTCAGAACTGCGTTTTCCACATTTTCCATTTGCCCTGATTCTTAGTGTCCAAACAGGTTCTCACTGTGTTCAAAAGCCACCTCTTGTGTTTAGTCTTCTTTTGATTGCCTGGTCTGCAGTAATCTGTTTCCTTTGCTGGGCCAAAATAGCATTTATCTATTTCTCTCTGACTATTTTTTATCTCTGTTTGACTGTACCACAGTGACTTTTTGTGCACAGTTGTGTCCCTGAGAGACTGCTTGGCACTGACCTTCCCGGTGATAATTTTTGGGCTCTCCTGTAGTGTGTGTGTCTGCTTGTGTGTGTTCTGTATATAGTTGATATATTTCAATGGTTTGCATAGACTTTGACTCTAATTGGAATGAGTGCCATTATAAGAGGCCCTACATCTTGCTCACTAGAGCTCCCTGTAGCTATATCAGAGTGATCCGTAAACAGTAAATGATCAGTACCTGTTTCGTTGTTGAAATGAAAGACTGAAGGAGGTAAGGCATTAGTATAAGAGGTGGAAATGGGTATGGGGGTGGGAAGAAGGAGATACTTAATCAGTGATATAAAAAGGCAGTTGGAGAAGCAATAAACTCATCCATGATTTGTATACAATCAGGGTAGAACTGTTACATGAATGGGAGAATTCTGGTGACGTGTGTCAACAGAGGTGGCTGGAGGCAGCTAGGTAAAACTATAGTGCCCTTTGGGATGAACGTGCACCTTGATTTGACTGGACAGCACCAGTTTAAGCTTTTATGGTAATGGATCTCTTTGAAATAGATCACCTTTTAAGTAACAGGTTATATTGTCATCCTTTTTATCAAGTACCTCATTTAGCTGATGGGTCCTTGTGGTTGTGAAACTGATGGCCTAGGTTATCAGGAAACTGTATGTAAGATCACAGACTGTAGCTAGGCACAAACACAAATCCTACCTCCATTTCTCACTAGAAGTGTCCTCTGAACAAGTTACTAAGACCTCTCTGAGCACCTTAATATTCATATGGCTCTGTTGTGTTCAAAACAGAAAGCAGAGGCTCCAGGCACTGAATTTCTCAGCAATCTCTTTGTTTATTTATAACCCTACAGAAGTTCTACCAGGGGCAAGATATGGCTGTAGGGAAGAAAATATTTCTGCTACAGTTGTTAAATTTCCAGACCTTCTGCATTAAAGATCACACACCAACGGTAAGGACATGGTTCTAGGTAGTTGGCAGCGTCCGACTGTTATCAATAGGAAGGCTCAAGATCACAGAAGCTGGACTCCAGGCTCATCCGGGGTCTCGTCTGGTGAGGAGAGGAAAGCAGGGCCAAGAGGAAATACATACCTATTTCCCCTTAATATAAACTCAAGAGTGCAATGGACTGCAGCCCAAGTCCAATTCCAGGGTTGCTGGATTCTCTCTGCAGCACTAAGAAGGAAGGGGCCTGAAGCATAGAGTATTTCCACCTGGGCATCGACATGGCAATGCAAAGGAGGTAAGAAGGTCAAAATTATGTGCCAGAAATGCAACTCCTAATGAAAACAAAATGCAGATAAGTATTTTTCAAGTAGGCAGTTACAGATCGGTAATTATGATGCAGTTCTGGAGCTAGACTTCCGGAGTTGAATCGTGGATTAATGGTTTTCTGGCTAAAGGACCTTGTCCAATGAAACCTGCCTCAGTGTCCTTATCTGTGATCGGGATTAGAAAAACAACAAAAGTAAAACCCTATCTTATTGGTTTGTTTTTATTATTAAATTAATTAATATGTGTAATATTCTAAAAGCATTTCCTTATATACAGTTGGCATGCATGCGCATGCATGCTTATTATGTAAGCACTTGAGGGTAATAAAGACTTTCCTTTGCATTTATGTTGACAGGATGGGACTTTTGTGGTGCGTAATGAGTCTCTGCTTCTGTGGGATCCTGCAAAGTGGTGCTTCAGGTAAGTGAATGATTTGAGAGAATCTCTTAAAATATGATCGATGCATAGGGCAATGAACCAATTCTTTTGCATGAATGCTTTAAGAAAATAATGCTAAATGATTATATTTAGTGGTAACACGATCGACAGAATCCTGTGACAGGAGGAATCTCTGGCATGTGTATAGTCTTCATGGGCAGAGAGTACCCAGGAAAGTGGCCTGGTATGTGTAAAACAGGATTTTCCCATATCTTTTACATCCACGCCAACCAGAATCCTACCTAGCTCCTGATTTAGGTCCTATGAGAAAGGACATGGCTGACAGTGATTATACCACTCTGTTTTTCAACCTTGAGCCACTGGTGGATGAGGCTTTGTTGATGGCAATTGTTTAAGGCCTTATAAAAACAAATGTTATTGGTTTTCTCTCACATTGAATCTGTATTCTGCCTTTGGTCTCATTCTGTCATTGGCTGTAGCTTCCATGAGCAACCAATGTTTGTTGAGTTGAATAATAAACATAGTCTCCATGGAATCAGATCATTTAAATCAGGTTTGGGGCAAGATGGGTGGGAGCTTTAGTCTCCCATCCTTAGAATTACTGCTTTGACCCTCTATGATGCCTCTGGTGAGTGAACATCTCATTGAAGCCAGTAACATGTTCGGACTGCTTAAAGTCTTCAAAGTTTTGAGCACCTATAACTGAAATTTGTTGTTTTTGTCATTTCCATGTACTTCTTGTGTTTAATTGGTTGTTCGGAACAGAACACATAATCTAATGGTTTTTACATTGCATGTAAAGAACCTAGGGATATTCCTTAAAACAAAACAGAACAACAACAACAAAACTTTCTGAATATAATTCCCCTCAACACCAGAATATCATATTTCTTCTCTGTGAGAGGGTTTTAGATATGTTAAATTCGTGATCATATAGCCGTGGCTCCGATATTCTGCAATAGCATGATTTTGATCCCTTGAGTGTCGGATTATCTTACCTGCATGCATTTTGGTTTCAGTGTCCTTTCAAGCATCCTGTTGAAAATCAGACCTAGGACTGAAAGAAAGCCTTAAATGGGACAGAGTGCAGTTGAAAACGAAGGAACTAGGAGAAAACGTACTACCTTGGTAATCCCACAAGGCCTTCACATAGGAAAGAATATGTTATAATTAGGGCTGAGAATTCGCTAGGACTCACTACTATGTGGCTCTATTGGCTGTCTAACCATTATCTGCCCTTCCTCATTGGATGACCCATTTGATTGACCAGTACCATGATGCACTCTGAATTTTCAACATAACCCTTGATTATAATTCATTCTTTTTTAATTCTACAATGTATTCTTATTTAAGTCCTTCACAATTATTGCTTTATAGAGGCCTTCTTTGACCATCCAAACTAGAATAGCCTTGGCAGTCACTCTCAGTCCTTCTTGCCTACTATAGTTTTCTCATTGCGTCCTCCATTTCTTGACATTGTGTGAATTCCCCTCTTCTCCTTGACATTTCCTTTTTAACTTTCTCATGCCTTTCCTTCCTTCCTTCCTTCCTTCTCCATTTCTCTCTTCTTATCTCTGCCCTTTAGGCTATTTGAAAGCAGGCACATGTCTATTTTGTTTGTCACACAGTTACTTGGAATTGTGATTGACATATGGACACATGTTAGGTGCTTAATTCTTATTTGCTAGATGAATGAATGCATGTCCCTTCCCATTGTATTTTACTGCAAACTGGCCCTGTCATCAGGTCAGTTCGTTACACGGAAACTCACTGCATGGTGCTGAAGTGCTGATCGTTGGTTCACTTTGTAAATTTGAGAGTTCCCTTTATCAGCTGTGCTGCGCTGTAGCAGAGTGCCTTGCACCATCCTTAAAAGATAAGGGAGAGGTATCTGTGTTACTCTTATTGAAAAACCAAGGAAGTTACTTGGTGCTGCTGCCTCCCCAGTGGTCCTGGCAGTATTTCCCTCAGTGACCTTTGCTGTGATCCAGCCAAGGAGTAGCCCCACCCCCGGCGTCCCAGCCAATGTGGTTGAAGAGTGAGGTTTCCCCGGGAACTGTGACTCATAATTCTGCTTGGGGAAGCTGACTTCTTGAATATCAGTTCTTTTATCAGCCCCCATTGAGTCACCCTGGGAGCAGGAAACATGTTGTAATCTCCTCAGCCCATCTGGCACCTAGTCATTGGCCTTCCTATGAAGAGCAGTATTGTGTCAGTGTCAGGGCTGAATTTCCTAGTTAGAGCGGAGGAACAAAAAGGAAGTGTTTTCGACAAAAGTTAAAAAGGGGGCTGACTCTGGACAACCAGGGGACAAGAGGAGCACGGCACATCCTGAGGGGTCACTGACCTCTCTGCATGGGTGCGCCTTTTACCACGGTGTACATGCAGCCCACTGATGGATTTCCAAGAGGCTGTTGGCCTTCTTGCACTTCAGGTTTTCAGCCTCCTGAATCGCAGGCTGGATGTGATGACCAGAGGATGATGTTTTTTGGGCCTGATTTGGTCTTAATTTGGCCCCTGATAGATAGACGCTGGCTATCATTTGTCAGAAAATAATCTTCAGGGAACTCTCAGATTTACAAAGTGAACCAAAGATCAGCACTTCAGCACCATTCAGTGAGTTTCCGTGTAACGAACTGA